TCCACCCCTGGAATCCCGACCCCCATCCCCCACCTCAGGCCTTGATCTCATCCTCCACTCGAGGTCCTGACCCCCCATTCAGCCCCTGTCCTTATCCGCCACCCCAGGGGTCCCGACCCCCAACAACCACCTCAGCCCCCATTCTTATCCTCCTCCCCAGGGGTCCCGACTTAGCCCCCCCATCCTCCACTCCGAAGGGCCTGACCCTCGCCCTCCACCCCTAACCCCGGGTCTGCAGGGGGTCCGCTCCTTTGCGCTGGCTCCTCCTTCTTCGGGGCTTCTCCAGCCCTCAGCCCTGGGCCTGCCTTGCCCCTTCTCGCCAGAGGATTAGGTGAGAGGAAGATCCGGCAGTGGATTGGTTCCACGGAGCCTGAAAAGCCATTTGGATCCAGGGAAGCTTTGCCCCAGGAATATAGTGATGATCACCCCCCCCCTTACGAGCTTTTGTTAAGTTCCTGGCACCACCATTTTTGTTTAACCCTCACAGATGGGTATTCTCTCCATTTTATAGTTGAGGAAACAGGTCCAGAGAGGCCAGGTTACTGGCCAGGGTGGCCCAGTGACCTTGAGTCCAGCCTGGCCAGGTTCCTACCTGGCCGGGTTGGGAAAGTGGGGAGTCTGCACCTCGGCAGATGGAGCAGGGCCCAGTGATAGTTTCCCCAAGAGTGCTTCCAACGTGCCTCTTTCCTTGGCTCTCTGGGCCCAGATTTACTTTCTTGGCTTAGAAACCAGATTTGAGTTGAAAGTTAGTTGTTGTCTCCATAAACTAATTTATTTGACAGATAAGAATAGAACACTTAAATATGCACTTTCCTGGCACAGGAAATCTGGAGTATAATTATTGTGGAACTGGTGTGAAATTTCTGTTGCCTTATAGAAATAGCTACTGTCGAATGTTTTATTTTGCATTTAGAACGTGTAAAAGAATACTTGAGCTTAGAGAATTTCATGTATTTGAAGGTTTCCTTGCCTCTTCTGTGTAATGTAGTTTCTGATTCACACTTTATTCTGTCAAAAAGTCATTGAAAAGATGATTACAGGGCTGGTTATGGTGGCACATGCCTGTAATCCCAGCACTTTGGGAGACTGATGTGGGAGGATTGCTTTAGCCAGGAGTTTGAGACCAGCCTGGGCAACATAGGGAAACCTTGTCTCTACAAAAATAAAAAAAATTAGCCAGGCATCATAGTGCGTGCCTGTAGTCCTAGCTACTCAGGAGGCTAAGGAAGGAGGATCACCTGAGCCCAGGAGATAGAGGCTGCAGTGAACGGTGATCATGCCATTGCACACCAGTCTGTGTGACAGAGTGAGACCCCCAACTCAAAATAAACAAACAAAAAGATATTACTATCAACACAATTGCATCCTCACCCTAACTTTCACTATTTTATGAGGCAAGTCACCAGCCCACCACCAATTGACTTTCACCTTTTAACTGGTGATCATTAGAAGGGTTGCCCAATTATATTTTATAATTCCAATAGCGTGATACTTAGAATGAGTATTTTCACAAAATCTTGAACTTCAGTTAGCCAAAACTACATGCTCATTACTATTCAAGTCCTGTTAAAGAGGTATTTTGAACCTACCAAAGTCTAGTTAAAAATAGTCTTTTTGGCCAGGCATGGTAGCTCAATCTGTAATCCCAGCATTTTGGGAGGCAGAAGTGAGAGGATTGCCTGAGCCTGGGGGTTCAAGACTAGCCTGGGCAACTTGGTGACTCCTCATCTCTACAATAAATCACAAAAACTAGCTGGACGTGGTGGTATGTGTCTGTAGTTCCAGCTACTCGAAAGGCTGAGGCGGAAGGATTGCCTGAGCCCAGCAGGTTGAGGCTGTGGTGGCTGTGAGTGTGCCACTGCACTCCAACCTGGGTGACAGAGTGAGATGCCAACAACAAAAAAAAGTCTTCTTAATTTAAAAATACATATTACGATTAAAAACATTTCTTAAAGTTATTGTCGAAATACCTTTAAAAATTCCTCTTGTCTCTCCCTGGATCCACATGCCCTGTAAGTGCAACATCTTTCTTGAGAATCACTAGTAATCTAGAGACTATGCCTGTAGCCACATAAAGCCTGTCATGGATTATTTCAGCTTTGCCTTCAATACCATCTCTACATAGCAGAAATTTCCAGTTTTTGTATTACTGGATTTTGTCTAGGCTGTTCATGTTTTTGTTATGAAGTCCAGCACTCAATATGGTACCCATCCATGACTAATTTAATGGGTGTTATTCCATTTATTTTCATTTGAGCTTGTTAGATTTTTTAAAATCTCATAGAACTACTAGCACATTCAGATAAATTTTGTTAAACTAATTGATCATTTCCTGTTATACTATAATTTAGTCATTCTTTTTGTAATAATTTCCTGTTTTCACCACCTGCCAAGACTTGACATGTTTCCATTTGTTTATTTTTAGTAAATCTAACTTTGTTGTCAGTAGAGAAGAATTTCAGTTTTAATTTTTTTAATGAGTTAAAAAATTTTTTTAAAATGTGGGGTACAATTCAGGATTAGGTATGGTCATCATACAGGTAAAGTTTGGACCTCCCTTTGGTCCCCACTTTGCCTGGTTTGAGATCAGGTACCCTTACTGATGTTGTGCACACCCTCTCCACCCCGGCAGTATCCCGCTATTGCCAACCTCTTTCTTTTTTGTTTTTTACATATTTTTTATTTTAAAATTGTGGTACAGTTAAGGGTTAGGTATACAAATATGCATTGTGCAGGTACCCTTGTTGATGAGTGTCCCCCCATCCCCAGACAGATATTTACTACCATTAATCCCACCTCCCTTCCCCTTCCTGTCCCCCCCATAGTTTCCCGCCACTGTCAATTCTTTTCTTATAGTATTACAATAGTTGTTCA